GTTGAAAAGGCAATTGCTCCCGACCAGGGCAAGCGACAGGCGCTTACTTGTCCCGTGTCTGCCAGCCACATGTGGAGGACAAGTGTTCAACTGCAGGCCCGTGAAAGCTGACAAAAAATGTGGGGTAGCTGGAAACAACCGTCGTCCACAAACGAGGTCAGTCGAAACCGTAGTATAGTTCCGCTTGCGAAGATGAAACCGGGTTGCGTTGAAGCTTGGCAAGTTTTTTTTCCCTGCGTTACTTGACGTGCTTTTGGAGGGAAAAAAACTGCATCGCTATTGTCAAGTATTTCCCGAAGTCAAAGTGGGAAAAGTGGAAGCGAAGGAGGGGTAAGCGGAGGAAAGAGGGCCGGAGAAGGGCCGAACGTGGCTCGCGCAGCTCAACAAACAAACCTGTCTTTCGTGCGTAAGACGTGGGTGAGGCTCTGCACTATCTCATGCATTTGAAATGTATGTGGCGTCGCATGTGATGGGCGCGGCGTGTGGACGGCCTATGCCGAGGGGCAGGCATCGGCATGTCGCAGCATGTACCAAGTAGGAAGGGAAAAAAGCCGTCGGCCCTGTAACCATGAAGCTGTGACACTGTAGTGGCTCAACGTGTCCAACACTCCCGATCCGCGCCTCTAGTAACTCCACCAGTGGGCGGAAGATGCTTTTCGGTATTCCCAAAAGAGAGGGTCTGAAAGTGGGTCACCCTTGTTGGGTCGCGAGTGTCACCTCAGAATTGTGAGCAAAAGTTGGCACGGGCAGAGATTTGCTGAGCACTAGATGATTCCGTATCCACACCCGTTTGCCCATCATCCGTCAGCACCCGTTAGTGGACGTGGCTAAAGGATACGTACCGCGTCTTATCAGGCAATGCAAGTATGTTATAGTATGTATGCGTCAAAGGTGCCGTGGTGCTGAGATGGACTACACGAAACATCAAACGCTGACTCGTGCGGGATAGAACGCCTAAAGTCGACTGAGACGGAGAGGCTATCCGGCAGTTTTAACATGAGAAAGAAAAGGGTGGGGTTGAAAAGTCTGGACGCAGCGAGTGTAGCCGTGATTGTGGAGAAGACAGGCAAGACCCTTGATCCAGACAGACGTCGAGTCAGCGACGGGCTCAGTCGCCCTGCACGACATTTTAGCGCGTTTATTACTGTGGAGTAGTAATACGCGCTGTGGCTCGCTCGGGCCAAAGGGCCGCCCGTCAGCGCGCTGCTCAAGAGGGTAGGTTTCCTGGTCAATGAGATGGAGATGCGGCTGAGGGTCAAGTGTGGCTTTAGTGGCGCGCAGCGTTGACGTGCAGCTGCAGGGGGATGATAGTTTTGCGTCGTGGTTGTGTGGGGACGCAAATGAAGGTTTACTGTAAGAGCGTTGTCGGACGTCGTCATCTTGCGAAGATCGACGAACCATGGAAAAGGCAATTCTTAGGGATGTTTTAGCGCACCCTGGATCGGTCAGGATCGGACCCATCGCTATTGTACCGAGGCCATAGATGCTAGTAGGGGTGTCCGCAGAAGTACACTTTCGTACGGCGCTACTCGACGCGCAAGCAGTGGAGTTGGCGCCGCAAAGAGACAACAATGACGATATGATTCCCGGGCACGACAGTGAGTTATGCAGGTGCGTTCCTGGAATGACTAGATGTAGACTTGGCACGTGATCCGGGTAGATATTGCGAATGCCATGTCACACCCTTTGAGCATGCAGGCCGTAGAAGTTTCGCCGCAAGATCTCCCGCAGTCGCTGTGGCCAGCCATCGTCGGTTTGCATCTATCCATTCTGACATGGGACCAGCTCCAGGTCGTGCTTGCACTTGTAGCTCGATCTCGGTTCAGGACCGGCTCGGCACGAGCACTACTACATTTGACACGTCCGCTTCGTGACGTCGATGGACCCCCAAGATGCAATATCTACTACGTGTGTAAGTACATCCATGCACGGCGCCGGAGAAAATTTGTTGCACCAGACATGTCCAAAAATTTACAAGTTTTTTTTTTGGACATTTCGGACAGACGCAAGGCCGAGCACGTCGATTGTTTGTGATGAAATCGGGAAATGTTTTCGCTTTGCAGATGTCGAATTCCAAGTTTACTGCGCAAGCACCCCCACCCCAGATTCTTCAAAGCGCAGTGCTCGGCACGACCGGATGCGGCCTAGCGGCCATGGTGTCAGACAATGTGACATGATCATGAGCAGATGAAACCGGCCGACATGAGAGAGCCTGGTACAAAGTATTGAACAGGCCCAGGCCTTTTTTTGTGCCAGGTTCCATGTCCGATGTCGTCAGACAGTCAATTACCACCAGACAATTCCGTCGGCAGCGGTTGGCTGGAAGGGGGAAATGCTTTGTCCTTGGTATCGTCATGTTGGTCTGACGAGTCCAGCCCACTTTCACCAAAGTAAGATTGAGTGGGGTTGACGAGGTGTATGCCCTTGCAGTGTGACGGGTATAAGGGAGCGGAAGCATATTTCCTAAGCCAGATAAAGGGAAATATATGCGATGAGTCCAGAGTGCTTACAGGCAACCCGAAAGCGTGTGTCGCGCGTGAAGCGAAGGGGTGCAGAGTTTTCGCCTGGGACCCGGCTGTATGGATGCGGATGTGTGGTGACGAGCAACGTGGGAGACGACAAATGGCAACCAGAAGAATATGTAAGACCAATAACAGTAACAATAACAACCACATCATCATCATCATCATCAGCAGCAGCAGCAGCATTACATATTAGGCGAGGACTTATTGTCAGGGCAGGCGGGCGGGCAGGCAGGGCGAGCACAGACAGGTGGCGACATGAGCTTTCAACAATTGACGGGTGCAGTGAAGCGTGTCGCAGGCTACGTGATTGCGCCATGTTGCAACCGCGTACTTAGATTGGCATTAGTAGAGGCCATCTCGATGAGGGACTTTACGAGGGACTTGCAAGCACCAGGAAGGGCGCAGGTGCGTGTGTGTGGGTGTGTGTATGTGTGTGGCGCGCACGCGTGCCCAGGCTGCACCTGAGCCTTTGGAGAATTTCGGATCGGCAGAAGCACCAATGAAAATGTTCCGCGCCGTGGTAGTATGGGGTGCTTGGGCACGGCTTACCAGCGTCGAACTGCGAGTCCGTGCCTAGGCCGTGTGCGAGGGTGCAGTGCATCGGGGACCACGGGACAGCAAGGCTTGCAGATACTTGGCCGCGAAGCGTTGGTGGAAAGGTGTACAGCGTGGTGGTGCTTGATGTTGTCTCTGCTGGGGAAAGTCGGGGGTGGGATAGCGAACAGGCAGCTATGACGAGAGGTGGAGAGGTGGAGAGCTATGGGCCTGGCGTCGCGCCGCCGTCGGCGCCAGGGTAGCGTCTGAGCTTGTTGCCCTCTCGACACACAGGCCTGCGGGAGCGGGACGACAAGCATAAGGTTTGCCTACAAAAAGGGTCTCTGCCGCTCGACAGGCTGACTCGCTGTGGCTATTTGACGCCGACGCGCATCCTCGTCTGGTGCTTTTGCTGATGCTTCTCCTCTCGTCCCGGCGGGCGGGCGTAGGCGTAGGCGTGGGCGTGGGCGTGGGCGTGTTGCGTCTTGGGCGGGCAGGGTAGTAAGTAGTAGTGTGCGTGAAATTGCCGCAACGCACAATGATGATTACTGAAGGCAAGCGAAGTCGAGTGTGCATGAGAAGTTCGGCGCCGGCAAGGTTTCCCTGGAGGCGCGACTACGAGTAGGCCGTGCAGCATGCAGGCCCGCTTGAGTGGGCGTACAGGTCGTCAGTGGGGAGGGCGTCGTCTGAAGGCCTTGGCGGGGGGCACAAAGGGCCCATGGGCGACCGCCGTGGGCAAAGGACCGTGGGCGAAGGACGAGGGGCGAGGGGCGAGGGGCGGGCGCCGTGCGGGAGAGGCCAAAGCCACGGCGCCGCAGCGCCTATTTGTTGTCCATGTCGAGTACGTATAGTCGAGTAGTAGCCGTCCACTTGTACTTGCATCGCCCTGGCTCAAGGCGACGGACGGCCGCACGCGCGGAGATACGAAGTGCCTCCGAGTGTGGAGAGTGCGAGTGCCCAGAGTGCAGACACTGTGCAGAGTGCAGGCCCGGGTTGCAGTGCGAGTGGGTTCGTTGCGACAAAAGGGCCCCCCTTCCCTTCCTCCCCGTCGCCATGCCTACAGGCTGGGTACGCAGCCTACATACACATACATACATACATACATACATACATACATGCCACATATGTACATACATACACATACGTACACGGCCCCCCTTCGCACCTGCCGTCTTGGACTCCCCTTTGGCCTGCATTGCATGGCCCTCTTTCATGGTCCGAGTAGCGTAGTCCGTCTTCAGATAACATGCCGCCCACCACTCCTCGACTCGGCTCACGCTCCAGATCAAGTTGGAAGCCATCGGGCTGGCGAGCGGGTGATGGTTCGCGCTACCTGTAGGCCGTGCAGCGCGGGTAACACGCCTAAGCCAGATACCTGACCAGGGTGCTGTGCGGTTGCGGCATGCCATGCATGTGCGCCTGTCTTTGTTGCTTGGGAAACAGCTTGTCTTGTTGGCATCCACTTTGGTCCTATTTGCGCGAATCCCGTCTCGAAGCGAGACGACCAGCCTGTCCAACAAAATCCATATCATTTGCAACTTTTTTTTGCATAAACTACAACGGTTGGCTATTGACCAACTCCGTGACATGGCCAGGAAAAAAATGGTAAAAAAAAAGACGCTGCAAATTTCGTTCGGCCTCGCGCCGTCAAACGCCAAAACACCATGCAATCATCCCAACCGGGCCCCTTTTGGTGGTATCCGAGAGCTGCCACGCTCCAAAAATACTAGGAAACAAGACAATGCTGTTCTACCTTGCATGCCCCTGGCACATGTCGGGCCATGCTCCAAAGTAATAGTAATAGTGCGAGATAATAATAATTGAAAAAAAATTGGCTGGTCAAAGGCTGAGGATGCGTCTAACATGACTGCGGCATCCAGATCAAAAATAAAAGTGTGGCCGAGGGCTCAGAATGCGAAACCAAAAAGTGGAAACGGTCGTCTACTTCATCATCGGGAAGCCGGCGCATCGCTCTCGGAGGACGCGTCCGCCTGGCGGAGGTGTCAGGGGAGGCGTAATCGCTGCCATCGGCGGGATCGGCAACATTCGGATGTTGTCGTCTGCATCGGCGCCCTCACGGGTGCCCCATGTAGTCTGATCAACAAATGTCAGCCATGTTTCAAAAGGTGGGTTGGCAGCGATGGTGCTGGTTGCGCCTGGATGTTGGGTGGCGGATGGGACAAACATACCTCTGTGACGGTGATGCAGCCGTAGAGCTTGATAAGGTTGTGGAAATAGCCGAAGAGAATCGAGACGGGCACGAAGCGGACGTCGCCGGGGTTCCTTAGCAGATGCGGCACTAGCTTGATCGTCTTTGCAAAGACCCAGTGCGCGATAAACAGTGTCCACAGAAGCGAGCGCTGCCACTTGTCGGCACGCGACAGTTGGCCCTCGTCGGCTGGGTAGTATCCAGTCTCACAGAGGGCAAAGTAGGCCGATGCAAGCAGGGCGCAGTCGAGCAGGAACGCCCATTGCGTGACGGTGGTCTGGAAGACGGCATAGAGTGACCATGGGTACCTCTGTCGCGTCAAGTGGTGTCAGCAAAAGGGTCATTATGCACACAGCCGGCTAGTGAAAAGAGGGGCAGGCTTGGCGCCTCGACGACGCGAAATTTGTGCAAATATTGGAACTAGCAAACTCACCATCCACATGTAACCCTCGGTCAAGCTAGTCAGGTTGCTTCTCCAGTTAGAACGGACCCAACGCAGACATTGCCGCAGGTACTTGGTGTCGTCTTCGAGTGTCGTCTCGACCTCGCACTCGCGGTGGTTCTGCATCTGAATTCTCCAGTTGTGCGAAAACAGCCAGCGGGTGATGAAGTTGTCGTCATCAGCATTGAGGAAGTGGTCGCTGCCCCATGTCTCGTGTGTGAAGCCATAGGTGAAGTTGGGGTCTTGCAAAATCTCCGATCGATAGGCCACGGCGCGGCCGGACAGGCAGGGCAGGCCGCCGTCTATCCAGTTGCAGGCGGTGCAGTCGAAATTTCTCCTGACCAGGTAGATGGCGCCTAGAAACTCCCAAATGTTGGAGCGGTTGAAGCGGCGAATCTGCTGGTTGGTGCCAACTCCGCCCACGCGTGGGTCCTCAAAGGGAGCCAGGATCCATTTGGTGAACTTTTCAGGCAGCCAGACGTCGTCGTCGAGCAGAAGCGTAATCTTGGTCTCGACCTCGGGAATGGCGCGGCACAGCTGGCGACGCTTGTTGGCCTGGCTGACGGACAAGACCTGAATAATCTTGGGGCTGCCGAGCTCTTCAACCATCTGATAGACACGCTTAACACGCGAGTCAGGCGTGACGAGTAGCAACTCGAAGGGCTCGAGGCGATATGCGCTTTGGACCGTCTCTTTTAATTGCTGGAGATCCTCGGCAACGGTGGGAATGATGACTGTCATGTCCTTGGAGGTGATTGTTGGGTCGTCGACAGGCTGCATGGGCGTGTACGTCCAGTTGCTGGCGAGGTTGACCCAAAGACGGACATAACGAAACAAACTATGGTAGCGAGTCAGTGTAGTCCCGGGAGCGGGAAGGGAGGAGGGGGAGGAGGAGGAGGAGGAAGAAGAAGAAGAAGGATAGTGGTGATGGTGATGGTAATGGTATTGTCAACATACAAAAGCACGACAAAGATACACAGCCAGCTCCAATTAGGGAACAGGGTCAGTGAAAAGGGAAACATGGCGGCGGCGGCCAACGAGTGTGGGAGATGGGGATGTGAGCTTCGACAGAGTATGGTAGACGAAGATCACATCGAATGGTGGGAGTGAAAAGCCGCTTGCATCGGGGAAGAAGCGGAAGTGACAGGTATTTAAACACGTATGCTTGCGAGCGGGCTAGGGCGGCGAGGACATGTTTCGCTTCCCGGCGCTGTTTAAGCTGCATGAGATTCCCTTAGCAGACTTTGGGGTAGTGTGAACATGGCTGGAGCATGAGGTAGTCAAGAATTCCCAGAGGCGACATGGGTGGGGGGGAGGGGCGACACGAGTCGGGAATAGCACATGCGCCTTTGTGCCAAAGCGTCATCCCATGGATGCTTGGATCCCGCCAGCCGTTGAATCGCTCGCATACGCCTAGGCACCCTAGATGCAGCGCTGTCAGGGATCGACTGCACGCACTGTGGTGTGCGTTGCTGACCAGGGCCATTTGCGGTGGTGCAACCGCCCCGCGGCTGCTCCGGTGGGTGGTGGTGCTGGTGGTGCTGGTGGTGCTGGGTGGTGGTGCTCTTGGTGCACACAGGCAGGCCGAGGACGACGAGGGCACGAGACAGCCTGCCTATGGCCCCCCCACCCACAAACCACGGCCACCACCACCACCACCACTACCACAAAAGACGACGACGACTACGACGCCCACCTCGCCATGCTCACCTCATGGCGCCATGCTGGACCAAGGCGCGCCGCCCGCCTGTCTACCCCAGTGTGCTGTTGCATGGCCGTCCTCCTGACGCCCACCCACCCCCCTCCCCCCAGCCGGCGGCGGGCTGTGCTGTGCGAGCGATGCGGCTGATGATCGATGGGTCCATAGCCAATACTCTGTGCCCCCGCTTGGCGCCAGACCATCTGAGATCAATTGCTCTAGGCCTGTAAGTTGCTCTGCCTAATAGTGCTACTGTACATACTTGCCTGCGCTGCCCACTGCCCACTGCCCACTGCCCGTTGATTGCCCATTGCCCACTCTTTGCACTTCCTCCACTGTCCATGCGCTAGCCGCTGCAAGCGGAGTCGTCCACTCCGGGCCCCAGCAAGCTCCAGCACCAGCACCAGCACCAGCACCAGCACCAGCACCAGCAAAAAGCACCAGCCAGAGCCATACGCGCTCCCTGCTGGCCCTGCTCATGCTCGTCTGGCGGCAGGGCTGGCGTCTCGAGCCTGCATCGCGACGTGCTCCCACTCGCGCCACTCGCTGCCAATTGATTGCCTGCGCCGCCTGCACTCCCGCCACGACACGAGCGCGAGCGAGCCCTCGGTATCGCGGTGTTGCAGCCGCTGCAACCATGGCTCTACTTTCCAGGGTCCCTTTTTTTCTTTGCTAAATTAATCCATCTGTCAACCTGTAGCCGAGCCTTTTTGCACCCTGCAGCCGCGGCGCGACCTGGGCGGCGTGCTTGCACTTGCGCTTGCACTTGCACTTGCACTTGCCCTGACGCCCGCCCCGGTCATGTGATTCGCCAGTTCGCTTGTCTGCCCTCGCGCCCTCGCGCCCTCCTGCCATTCATCCATCCGCTAGTGCCATGTTATCCTCGTACGTGGGCTGATGCCTCGTTCCCAACTCGGACTCTTTTCCACTTGCAGACCACGCTCGACTGATGAGCTGCATTTTCAATTTCCACTCGGCCGCCGTCCCTACCACTTTGGAAAGGTACCTGCTCCGGATCAAGACCTACATGGCCCGCCTTCCGCCTGCATCCTCACCAAACTGCCCACCTACTGCCTTCACCCTCCTGTACGCTGCTGCAGAGACGGGGTTGCTGTCATGCTCTTGCAGATCCAACCCTCGGCCCGCGGAATCACTTACGCGCATCCAATAACCTCGTACGCCCGCCATGTGTCCTCCTCTGCCTGCCTATGCATCATGCATGTAATATATCATGGTGGGTGGCCGCCCATCCTGTGAGCGATCCAACGACACTCGGCCTGGGCGTTGGCGCCTTCCCTGCATGGAATTCCCTTTGTCACTTCCATCAACAACCTCTGCACCAAGACATATAGAAACACCTTTTGCACCCTCTCTTGCTGCTCGACTTGATCATACCGCGTATCCCCCTAAAAAAACATGACATGCTCAAAATACCCCGGCTACCCCCAGTCCTGTCACACTAATCCCACAAAAAGGCCGAGACTCTAGTACTACACACGCCTATACGACATTACCGCATACGGCAAAACTACTGACCGTCTGCGTACTCTGATCACGACACTTCCGAGAATTGCGTCATCTACCATAGGGCATGGCGGCAAGCTGATCCTCCGCGTATTGCGGATCGTGTGCCGCTTCCTCGCGAAATGCCGACCTTGTCGTTGTTGACATGCAGCTGCGCGCTTCTGCACGGCATAATGAGAGGCAGGGACCCAAGAAGCGTACACATATAGAGCCTCAAATGCCATAGTGCACCTGCCAGTCGCAAGGCTGAAACTGTCCCTTTCTCTCTCTCTCTTCTAGCCATGGGTCCCTCGTTGTGCAACTCGCAACCTTGACCACCTTTTGCTTCCCTCTCTCGCACCCGAAGCAATCTTTGCTCACTGACTAGCCATTTCCCTATCCGACAAGGGCCGGTTGGCCTGACTCTATTTTCCCACCCGCTGTAACCCTCTCCACAATCTGGACACCATCTACCTAATTCGGCCACTCGCTCTTGAAGTTGCCTGTTTCGGAAGTCCTCTTGAACCTATACCAAGCCTCAACTGACGAGTCGGGCCACACGTCCCTAGTGGGGACAGGGGGGGGGTTGAACATCGACTCCCATGATGTGTTTCTGTACAAGAAATTTTTTAACCACAGCCTGGGCAATAGCATGGCCTTTCAGTATCCATTACAGCTGGCAAAGATCTGGTATGATAGGATGACTCTATCCATCCCGTCGCTTGCATCCTTATTAGCAACTGTTGCAGCGCCAGATTTGCATCTTGTCTTGACTCGCGCAACATTCCGACAATGTTTTGTAGATGGCTCTGGAAACATAGGCTTTCCCCAACCAGCCCTGGTCGAGTGTAAGGACGGCAACACGCCAGTGACGTAACAAGAGCGCAAGCGCTGACCAGAACAGACTGGTGGATTTGATTCATCTGAGACATTCCAGGGTCATGATCGAAGATGGCGAGTGGCTTTCCTACTCCCACGATACAGAGATACAGATGTAAATGATCCCTGCAGTCCACTAATTGACGCGCAGTTTTTTTTTTCGGTACAGCTGCCGAATCAGAAGACACTGCGCAGCTGTTGGGTGGACAACACTGTCGCTTTCTTTTCGACCATCTGACATTATCCTCTTACAAACCATCACCGGCACACCTGGCTATATTGATAAACGAGCAATAGTTCTGATCGGCAGGAGATGATGCACCCCTTGAGCTTATTCGCTTATTGACGGCACCCTTAACAAAAGAGCATTAATTTTTGCAGGTCCCGGCGCAAGGCATCCCTCTAACGATACTTGTTGAATTGGTAGCAGTACAAAGACCTGCATCCAAGTCTCCATGTCCCCTAAAATCCTGCTGTCCGGTCAGTGACGACTTGCCTTAATCCCAGTCCGTCCGATCGTCGAGTGAAACGCTACCCAGCCTTGGAATCCATTGCGCGCACAGATAGATCGGGTGTCAGCAGATACGGAGCTGTGCCCATGCTGTGTATTCTGGATTTCGCCAGTGGTCGCGATACAAATCGCGTATGGTGGAATTGGACGGGCAAACAAGCGGGCTGGGGGCGGGTGGTGTGGTTGCTGGCTTGCGAGCTACAATCAACTAGGCCGTTAGCGTCCTTCAGTCACATGGGGGCTTGATTTCACACATGCACACCATCCACATCTAGCACGTATTTAGCGACGGGTTCAGTCAAGCGCACAGATACATGGTAAGCAGCAGCGCCTGTAAGGGTCAGATTTTGGCAGAAGCGCCGCACGCCTCTCAGCGCTGGGGCCAGGGTTATGGCCGCCAGGGATGGCGGCCACTATGTACGAGTGCGCCATTTGTTCGGATCGCCCGTCTTGAAATGCTCTAGACAACCATGGGGTGGCACCCTGCTCGTTCCCCACACACTCACACCAGGTTGCTGCCGAGCTATCGAGAGACGCAGACGTCATTTGGCCTGGGTATGTGGACAACAATCGATCCGGCTGATCACTAGACCCCAGGGCGGGTGTGAGGGGGGGTGCGCGCGCGACACCTTCATTGCTCCAAATCTACCGGCCTTGACTGTGTTTCCAACTGTATGGTTACTTTCGGTCCTAACGTCGTTGGCTGTGTCGAACGATATTGACTATTATCCCGCACTACCGGAAATTGAGGGCCGCTGCAACTCTCACTGTGTCGGGGGGCCAGGGTAAAGTTGATTAACCAAATCTGCAAGTCTCTGCAGACACCTAGCCGCTACCGTTCAGAAACCCTCAAGGCTGGTGGGCAACCACGATCCTGCTTACCTTGCGTGAACGGTGTGCAAAGTCTTTAGTTGCATCCTCTTGTCTTTGTCCTCTTGCCTACAACGTTCGATACGTTTTCGTCGCGGTTGAGTAGGGGTTTTTTTTCTCGCTGAAGAAAGCCTTTTTCAGACCCCTTGGCGAGTGAATCATTAACATATCGCTCACGCAGGTCATATAGTCGAATTTGCTATTCTATCGCAATCTTCACAAGGCCATACACACCCACATCACAAAGATTTTCCAAGCGATGTGAGCGATCGACGACTAGAGGATCAGGCGACATTCCCTTTGATGTCGTGCATACGGCACGCCACGCCGCAGTGGTCACCCAAACACCCAAACACCGCGTGTGATTGGCATATCTGGCAAGGAACAGGTCTCTTCACAACATCAACTGACTCGCCTGCCAGTTCAAATCTAGATTGATTATCGAGATGATAAGCATACGTTCACAGGAAAACTCAGTGGCAATAAGCATAATGCTTATGCCCTCGTATCGAACGATGCCCTCTATTTCAGTCGACGCGCGTCGGACCCATGCGAATATGCATGCAACAAACATCCAAGCAGACATATCCAACAGGTCTAGGCCTTTTGGCATTTGCTCAATCCCTTGATCACAGGTGCTGCCGTCATGCAGATTGTTGAGCGCATTTTTCATATGAACGGCGTTTAGAATTCCTCTAGGACTCCTTTACATGCTGCATTTCAATGACCTACAAGCAGTAACGGTATTACGAGACCACTGGAACCTTTCTATTTTTGCCTACCAACAATACACTTATGACAGTAGATCACGATTGTTAGAGGCTCAGCAGACCAACGTCTTCGTTTTCACATTTCTTCTATACCAAGACGCTACTATACGGCTCATTCCATGGAGAATACCCACATGGTATGGCTTTGTTGTGTCTGACAGCCTACCTTAGTTTTACGTACCATGCATTGGTGTGTCATCGGAAATTCCCTTTTCTGGCTATGGTATACATGGGGGGCGTTTATTCTAAAAGAAAAAAAATCATCAAGGGGATGACCAGGAAGGTACGTGACCTCCAAGGTAGGAATATGGGGCAGAACCGTATGAAGTTTTGCCTCCCTGTCGCGCGAAGCGCGACATGAGCTGAATACACAACGTCTCATCTCCTGAGGCACTGTACAGGGTAGGCGTTCCAGGAATAAGACTATATGCACGTAATCGGTGCCCGGCCTATCTTTCTACTCGGCTATACTTTAGTTACATGAATGCTGCATTTGAACGAAGGGATGTCCCGTTTTGCTTGGCGGTGCATCTTGGACACGACAGCGATACTCGTAAGATCCTGCCACTACCCGTCGACCCACCTTTCACAGGCTACACGCGACAGGCGACTATCAAGTCATTCTTGCATTAGAAGAGCTGCGTGGATCGCCACTGAGGGTTTGATGCTGAATGCCGGCCGGCATATTGGCAAAAGAAGAAAAAGCAATGTCTCCTGTGCTCTGCAGCCTGCAGTCCAGTAACATCATGCATCATAATGACAAGGGCCTCATTGGACAGAAACAAATTAGGCTGTGGGATGCGGGGAGAATTGCAGAACCATTCAGGCGTCATTCTGGAACGCCAGCCGCTACACAATAATCAAATCAGAGATGCTTACATTTCCAGCTCACATCATTTGAACTCACTGCACCTCTGATTGCAATTTGATTCATAAATTCACAATCACCAAGAAAAGGCCCAAAGCCTTCTTGTAATCCTACAGAATCCTACCATCACACCCTCCCGCGTCATAACGATGCCCTATGACAGCGCACCACCTACTCCATACAGGCCTTGATGCCGTTGCGAGCCACTCGCCGGGTATCCTGCAAGACATGCCAAGCCCATACACAACCCAGCAAACCGTGCGAGTTCCCTGAATGGATCTCGAAGGCTAGAGCCGGACAGTCGGTTAGTACCGCAGTGCGAAAGATTTCTGCTGCTTGAGAATACGGTAAAAACTCAAACAGGCCAAGCGCTTGCATACCATCGACCCTTTTTTTTTGCCCTTATCTGCGGCTCGCCGAACCGCGACCAGCCGGCCAAGCCCTTGTTGCCGTCGCCATCGAACGTGGCATGCATAAGTAGTGATGGTAGGATCCATACCGTGGGGGGCGAAGACACACGCAATCAAGCATGCATGCTTCCTGTGGCTGGTTTTTTCCGAGTAACTCCGGTTAGACGTCTTGACTTTCTGGGAGGATCACCCAGGACTACTCCCTTTTTTTTTCTTTGGCCCTGTTTATCCATGGCAAGTAGAAGTTACTCCAGGGGTGCTATTCTACATCCGAAATTCTTCGGCCTTTTTTTTCTGCCAAAAGTCCAATCCGGAAAATGCAGATGCAGGATGTCATGTACAGTATGCACAGCTGCATTGTTTTCCCTTTTGATAAGATCCTTTTCTTTCTTTCTTGTCAACCTACTTTGATAATGGGAAGAGTTGAGATGCATATGCATCATTGTTCACACTGTACATGGTTCAGTTAGGTATGGCAGGTAAGTACTTGCATCAAGTCACGGTAGTATCGCTTGCCCCCCCTTTTTCCGCGGTACAGCAAAGCAGAAGTTCAACGGAAATGAGAATAATAACAATATTGATGTATCTATCCGCCCAAAGAAGTACTTTACGCCGCATGTACATTATCTTGGCTTTTTTTTTTCTCTGCACAATCTAAGATACCATCTCGAAAAACTGGAATCTCAACCCTTCCACACCCCTCCTCCCCTCCTACCGTTTTTTTTCTGCAAAAAATCTAGCAAAGCACAAAATACTAGCTTATTATTCTAGAGAAAAAAATTTAATCTCAATCAATCAGCAATACCAAGTCATTCAACCAGAAAGCCCCCCCTTCCCCCCCCCCCCAAGAATGCTATTTACAATCTTCTACCCCTTAGCCATTCCCCTTCCCCTCCTTCTATCTCCAGAACAACCATCAACTTTGACAAAGAAATCCTTCCACCTAAATTTTATTTTCTCCTCGGTATACATATCATATCCCTCTAATAACCACATTAAACAAGCCCCACAACGCCCTCCCACCCCACTACTGTATACATAACCACCCCCCTATAATCCCTTTATCCAATCTAGACCCTCTAACATCTTCTACACCTCGCTACATCGCTTTTCTGTATTATAGGATATATATATATATATATAGCGTCCCATCCCTCCTCGCCCCTTATCCGTGATTTTTTTTTACAATATTGTAGAACTAATCTGACTTGGGAACGTATATGAGTTATGGGTTTGTACATGTCGTTTGGCTTGAACTAAGCTAGCAGAACAAACGCGGGGGGGGAGAAACAAAAGTCTCTGTGTTCCAATTTTAAATGTAGATATGTCGAAAGAATGGGTACTAAGATAAATGGGAGGTATGGTGGCTTTTTTTTGTTGAAATAAGACGAGCAAAAAAAGAATCCCCCCCCCCGAGTAGGGAACGACCACAAAAAAAGAGAGATAAGCGGACGAGAAGAGGGTATCTAGATGCTGGATAGCTGAATAGATATAAAACAACGCTTTTTGCAATAAAAGGGGTTGTAGTTGACTAATCTCTCTTGGGTTAAAAAAGAAAAAGAGAAAACAGAGCAGACAGAAAGAAAACGATATCAGGCAGAAATGCCATTCGTATACTTCAAATTATTCTAACATAATAAAGTACACCATTTCCGCAATCCACCTTAATCAAACCCCTCAAACTCACCTTCCCTTTCCCCACCCTCACTCCCACTCTCCTTACTTTCCTTCCTCCTCGCCTTCTCCCTCTTCTCCCTGCGCATATTCTCAATCTTTCTCTCATACCCACTCTTACTACTAATCCGACTCGCCTTGCCTGTCCGTCTGGCCTCAACACCCCTCCTCTTAAGCACCTGTCTATCCCTCTTCGATGGCGTCGGCAATGCATCCAGCAACCACTGTTTAACACTCCCTTCATCGGCATTGACACCTCTCAGCGCTTCAGACGCGCGAATAACGTTGGCGATGAGTTTAACGTAAGGTATGTCGTCTTGGGTGTAAAAAGTAACGGCGACGCCGCCGGTGCGGCCAGCGCGTCCTGTGCGGCCGACGCGGTGGACATAGGCGGCGGCGGAGGAAGGGGCATCGTAGTTTACGACGCCGTTGAGGCCGCGGAAGTCGATGCCGCGGGCGAGTAGGTCGGTGGTGATGAGGACCCAGATTTCGCCTTTGCGGAAGCGCGTCATGATTGTGTCGCGGGCGGAGGAGCTGAGGTCGGCGTGGAGCACGGCGATGCGTGAGCTGCCGCCGGCTTCGGGGGGTATGTCGTAGAGGAGTTCGGAGTGGAGGGCTATGGCTCGTGGGATTGTTTGGGTGAAGACGAGGAAGGGGGGACGGAGTATGGGTTGAGATGAGTCGGTGTGGACGGCGGTTGGGTGAAGGAGTTGGCGAAGGCCGAGGAGTTTGCCTTGCTCGGTGGCGGCGTAGGTTAGTTGGTGGGATATGTTTGGAATGGCGCTGTCTTTGAGGCCGACAACGAGGCGGATGAGTGGTGGTCGAGGGGGTAGAGCGGATTGCGATGAGGAAATGGCAGACCAGCGGTCGTTTAGAGTAGAGATTGTCAGACTTTCAATGTTTGATCCCATTGTTGCTGACCAGAGTCCGACGCGAAGACTGAGATTTGTGCATGCGTTCCATACAGCCAGAGTTTGTTCGCGGAACAGAGGATTGAGGAGGACGTCGGCTTCGTCGAGGACGAGTTGAGATATGCTAGAGATGCTTGCAACGGTGCCATCTCTACGCTTCAGAGAATTCACGAGAGCAAGCGGAGTTGAAACAAGAATCGCGGCCTTTACAAGCTCTGCTCGGCGGCCTGTCTTCTTTTTCGGTGCTTCCTTCTCTTCATCTTCAGATTCAGATTCACCTCCCTCGTCATCAGAGGCTTCAGATGAGTCTTTGGCCTCGTCCTCTTTTGTCTCTTCAGGCTCATCTTCATCGTGTGCCACCACCTGCATGCCCTTCCTCATAAGCGTAGCCTTAACCGCAGTACCTTTTGCCAGCTTCCTCGCTTCATTCACAATCTGCGATGCCAGTTCCCTCGTAGGGGCAAGTATGACCGCACGAGGACCATTCTTGGCGTCTGCGCTCTTGCTTTCTGAAAGCAACGCATCGATGATCGGTATGAGAAACGCTATAGTCTTTCCGCTGCCCGTGGGCGCAACCGTCAAAAGGTCGATATCTCCATTGTATTCCGCTCCAGACAAATTCTCGACGTCTTGCAAGAGGCCTGGCTCACCTTTCTTCCGCAGCAGCAGTGGCAAAGCCCCCAGTTGAACCTCTGTCGGCAACTTGTAACCCTGCTCTATTATATTTTCTGCGAGGCGTCTCGATATGCCGTAGCGTGTTCGAAGCTGCGCAAACGATGTGATGGGCTGAGGGTACAGCGTCTTCTTCGTATCCTTCTTTTTCTCCTCTTCCTTCTTCTTCTTTTTCGACTTCTTCTCCTTGCGCGGCTCTTCTATTTGTGGCGCAAAGTCCCCCAACACGGCAACCTTGAGCTTGTGCGAGCGCAGTATCCTTTTACATTCCTCCACATCGTAGGGTTCTTGCTGGACATTGTTTATTTCCTTTTCTAAATTCGCCGCCTCTTCCTGCTCCTGTTTCTTCTGCTTCTTTCTCTGCTTCTTGGATAATTTGTCCCCGCCAGCCTGTGCGTCTCTGCCTGCGCCTCCACCAAAGAAATCGAGGTCTGCGGGCAAGGCAGCAGAACCGGACTCTGACTCTACAACATTCTGCCCTCTCTTTCGTTTGCGACTCGAGTTGGACGAATCTGGCGACTGTGGTGGCTCGTTGTGGCCGAAGAGCTGTGGATTTGCGACGGCGCCGGAGGAGGGAAGCTTTTGCGCGTGCGAGTTCTGCGCCGCTTGGGAAGATCGCGAGAGGAGCTTGAATACGTTCATGGCAGTGACGGTGCAGACGGGGTAATCTGTGGTAGGGCACTCGACATCAGGGTTTCCATACAGAGCTCAATTTGAAGTTGTTCGCGATGCAAAAGTTGCATTGTTGCAATGGGAAAAATAACTGGGCCGGTGCTATTTGGCCGAACTAGCGCCGAACACCTTACATAGCATTCACAGCACGGGCTATGGCCGATCATTTACTGAAGTAGATGCATTGCCAGTAAAAGTGCACATGTAGAAAATGGAATCTAAATCAGAGGTATGTGCAGTATACAGTATCGGATCCCTTGCACCCCGAATGCACCGCAAACACACTTGGTCGGCTCATCAGCCCGCGAAATCGTACAGTGTTTCCTCACCCCGCCCCTCGTCGCACATCTAACTTTTGGCCTAGCGCCAAATGTATACTTGAATGTCATGTCTTGATCTTGTTCACTTTATTGCACTCAGTGGTGCTCGTCCTTCTTGGTCCTGTAGCCAACCAGCTTGAAACGGCCAATGATCTCGCCAACAGAGAAGAAGCCAATGACCTCGGCGGCGATTACGCCAATCGAGTACCACTGTGCGCGGGGGACGTTTCGGATTTGTGCGATGACGTTGGCGGGTGACTGCTGGGTGGCGCTGTTGGCCTCGCTGGCCATGCGGCTGAAGAGGGTGCTTGGGTTGCGGAGGGCGTTCAGAGCGGGCTGAATGTAGTTTTGCATAGTCTGGACGGATCTGATGGTCGTTAATTGTTTGTGCTCCAAAACAGACGTAAACGTGGCCTGCAATTATGGGAAGCTTACGGTGGTTGCATGTTTCGCTGCTGGGCAATGAGCTTGCCGAGCTCGAGTCCAACCTTTCCGTAGTAGGTGGCCCGGGGAATGATTCCTGTGCAATTGTCAGTCGACCGCTCATCAGGCACAGCCACGTTATTTCGATGGCGCTGTCAAAAAGCGTGGCGCAAATCTATCAATGCCCCTCTCACTGCTCCCCTGATAAGGCATATATCACTCCTCTGGCGACCCATTGAGTGTCATAGCCTTCACCCCCTGCTCTTCTTACAGCCCATGATCCGCCTGGTGCCATTGAACATCTCCCCGCGCCCCTCGCCTATGGGTGTGACTAACCTTGCACGAAGTTGACCATCCTTCCTACGCGGCCCGTGGCTTGCTGCGACGCATTGCTGACGGCCTGGCCAGCGCTCGACGCCGCAGAGCTCGCCGAGCTCTGGACCTTGGAGAGTCCCTCTGATGCCTTTGACTGTGCCTTTGACGCAGCGTCTTTTACCGTGTTGGTGGCTTCGGCGGTCGTCGAGGCATTGCGGATGCCAGCGCGGCGGACGGTGAACGTCGACTGCCGTAACACGGCACGGGATGCGGCGAGAGACATCTTGATGCGAATTGAGCGAGGGAAGATGGGTTGTCGCCGGTCGTCTGCTCGTGAGGGTGGATGGAGCTCCGGCAGTGAGCTGACGATTTTTCCGAGGGGGCCGTGCGCCGCTTGTCGGAACCCTCAGCGGCTCAGGAGACTGATTGAGTGTTCATCTTTACATCACCCAACGCTTTTGATCTATTGTATATTCAACACATCTGTTAGTAGAGCAGACCAAATGCAGCCAAACTTATGTGTAAGGAATGCAGTGACTGTAGAAAGCCGTATTAACGCCATCATTGACGGCACGTGAGAATATTGCATCTTAACCACAGCGCTGGTACAAGTCTTTTTTTAGCGCCAATACGGCTTTATATCAGACTATCTAGCTTATCACTCGGCGAACTGCTGATATTCTGTAAAGGTTTGGTTCTAAAGTATCTTACTCAACCCTTTCTCTGGTAAACCATCAGGGGTTAGGTATGCTCAAGAAACAACAAAAATAACAATCTCATCAATTCTCCCCTCTAATCCATCACCTAATAGTCATCTCTAGGAGGTCCCTCTTCTTCTCCTTGGGCTGGCCTAACATTACCCCCTTGATCAAAAAATTCAGTTTTCTAATCTCCGTCCACCGACTCAAAGCCCCCAACTCAAGCACGCTCATTCTCCTCATCTTGCCACTCGGGTTCCCGATCACCACCGCTTGCCAATCGCTGCCTCTACCCATCTTCTCTAGGTCTTTGAACTCCTCCCATGCTGCCGTGTCGCGTCTGGTGCCAAAAGTATGATTCGGTATGACTTGCACAGACCTGAAGCGCAAGAGAACCAAGATTAGAAGAACAGTCAGGCCTAGGAGAATGCCTGCTGTGACGCCCGTCGAGGTTTGGGCTCCAAGCCGTCGTGTCATGTTTCCTCCGACTATTGTTGCTATAGCGGCGAGTATGAAGGCAATGATCTGGCTCGCAAATATGCCGGCTGTGATGCGAGGAAATGACGAGTAGTTTGTTCTTCTTCTGCGGTCTTGCGCTGCCATACTTTGAAGGCGATGTTTTGTATTGACGCCAGGTTGTAAATCGCATGTATCAAATGTTTCCATTATGAGCCCATGGCACTCGGCTATGGCGAGAATGCTGAGGAACCCTATTGCACCGGCGAAGATGATTGGCACAATATATGGATAAGGGCGCCCAGCGGAAGAGACTGTATATGCCATTCCCATGAGAGGGAGTGTGAGTGTGAAGACGGCGCGCCGCACGAGATGGCTGGTCCAAGTGACTTGCTTCTCAAATGTCATCGAGTCGGTGCGGAATGATCTTTTGCGGTCGCGAGAGAAAATACCCGCCTTCGTCATGGGGATGGCTAATAGTGCACCAATGGCAATAGACATGACACCTGCGCCCACCAGTGTCGATCTCCATCTGTAGTCTCGTGACAAAAGAGCAGCCAGGAGAACAATGACGAGCACAACCTGTGCGTAGATCCAGCCTAAATAGACCGCAAGGACGAAGAAGCCTGGCTGAAGGAGCATCATAGTCATGAGCTTTATCCCTGCCCATACTTCTTCAAACCAATACATCGGCCCCTCTGTCTGAATATGCAACTTCACCTCTCCACTGCTGATCCGTCTCGTAATGTAATTCTCGTCCTTGTCGTACACTTCAGTTACCGACTCGCGAAACTGTGCCCGTCGTGTTTCCGAAGCAGTAATGTTGAGTATCAAAGCCACCAGCAAAATCAGAATCACAACGTAGAACCCCCATTGCGGCTGTAGGTCTTCAATGATTGCAGCACCGAGTTGGAAGCCTACAGCGAGTGAGCCAATCCAGCACCAAGACCAGATTCCCAGCCATAAGCCCATGCCTCCACCGTGACGGCGTACGTCATTGACAACGACAAATTCTTGGTGAGGATTCTTTGATTGCAATGAGGCGCCGAATAAATCCAGTAGTACGGTAATGTAGTTCACATTCGCAAAACCGAGAACGAGGCCCGATGCTCCACGAGCCAGGAGAAGTCCAACGCGCAATGCGGGGTCTTTATCGGCATATCCGCTTACAACGATAGCTTGAGGAAACTGAAGTGGTAGAGCAATTGTCAGGGCTGAGAGGACGTAGGGTTTTCGTCCGTGAAGGAGAGGTAGTGTCCAAGCAAAGAAAGTAGAGATAGCAAGCCCAGCGAACAAGACTGCGTTGCCAACAATGGTCACATGCTGCTCGTCTGCTAGAGAATATTGTATACGGGGTACCTCGCCAGCATAGATGCCAACAATAATTCCAAGTAGAGCTGTGTTGATGCATGCTATCGTTGCAGTCAGGCGTTTCTTGCCTGTGGACCAATTCCTTGCAATTGGTTGTCTGCGGTGAGGCCGTATCAAGTTGAATGTATGATGATGCGCCTGCCCTCGGACTGTGAGTTCGTTACCATAGGCTTTTGCAGGTGGATGGTCTTCCTCGGATGAACTATCGTTATCGTCCAAGCCAGTATCCTTTTGATCGAATTCCGAATCGGGCAAAGGAGTACGTTTGAGGCTCTTTTTCTGTGGATGAGGGTTTCTACTGGCTCTAGACTCGTCGGTATTTCGTTGGCGTGAACGACCACGGGACTCGTCTCGGCCTACAGGGCGGAGAACAAAGTCTACATGCTCTCTAGGAGCTGCTTTGATATGCCTTGGCTGAGGAACACTTTTGTGAGTTCCTGATTCATTGCGGTCTTGTTCGTTCTCTCTTTCAGGTGCAGTCATCATCGGATCACCCTGTTCTGGGTGCTCTTGGCTCGAATATGCCCAATCATGGGATACTGAGCCTCTGTGGAGCCCGTGGGATGGATGTACATTGGGCGCAACATTTTCGAGTACATTCCCAGGAGACCCTGCTGAATGATAGGGACTTGAAGATGGGCTAGAAGAGCCAGATGCTTTGAGAGGAGAAGCTGTCTCCATGAGATGTGTAGGTTCCCCAGCTGCCTCTTGAACGGCCTTTTTGGCACCTTCGATGATCTCATATATCTCCCTTACTTGGCCTTGATCTTGAGTACCCTCGGCAACTTCGACAGCTTCCTGTACCATGTCTTCCAGATCGTCTACTGCTTTGCTTATCCTTCTGCTGGCGCTATGCTCGAAGGCACTGCGAGATGGCCCCTGGATCTTCGAAATGATCGCTTCCGTTGATGTGCCATCAGAATCGCTCCTTGCTGGCACGATAATATGTTCGGGAATTTCAGGCTGCTCCAGATGATCTGGAATGGGGGCCAAACTCTGAGCGCGTGAGCGGTAATCATTGTGCTTGGGGTTGTTGATATCATCTTTGATGTGCACAATCGATAACCGTTTTTGGGGATTGTGCGGTTGTGAAATCGATATTCGGTGGGCCGTTCTTGGTGGAATTGCTTTGATGGAAGCCGAGGATGTCCGTCGAGCCTCTGACTGCTGGTGTCTTGTAGCTGGCGATGGGCTACTTTCAGCTGCTGACGTGCTTCGACTGTCAACCGGTGAGACATATGTTTGCCTTCGCGCTATTGGTTTGGCTCCTACTGCAGCCCATGAGGCACCAGAGGCAGAGGTCCTGCGACATGGAACACGAGTGCTTGGAGATGGTGAGTTCGCAGAACTACCAGGACCATCCACTGTTGTGTTATGTTGAGTTCCTATAAAAGTGCCTAGCTGTCCATTTACCGAGCTTTTGCGCGAAGCGTGAGGGCGGTTGTCTTCAAGCCAAGGGAGCCTCCTCCTTGCGGGTAGTAGAGGCTTCCTATGCTCGGGCATTGATGTCGGTTTCGATCGCGTACTCGGTTTGTTCGATTCTTTGAGAGGAACCCCTGCCATCTGTCTAACTAAGAAAAACTAAGCGGGAATATGATTGAGCAAATAGCAAATGGTATCACGAGAAAAGAGATGTAAAATATTCAAGGAGCGGAAGAGAGGTTTGAAAGGTGAGTCTTTAGGTGAATGCGGATTCTCCACTTGCAAGACTGGGTGGGAAAAGAGTGAGTGACGACCAGCTTGAAGCTCCTACGGGTAAATGCGTGTAGGGTGGCGAGATTTAGGAATGAGGTGAAGCTGGTCGTAAGAGAGATGCATAAGGTGAGAGCAGATGTCGGAAGATACGAAGTCGTAAGAGGTTGTCGGGACCGTGTCCTTATTGGAAGTTAAGTGTGAAAATATTTCTATATTTAGGAAAGGCTCTTTCTCAATGCCAGGCGACAAGGATACTTTACGTACTGTGGGAAGGTACCACACACTGACCTAATATATAACAAGACGACATCACCATATACATCGATGATTTTTATCCGTCTAGATTCAGCCTATACATGAAAATCACAGTGCGCTATTGTTGGACCGCTTGTAATATCGCTCCGGTCATACCAAGCACCTTCTCTTCCTCAAGTCTTTGGGCGATAAGTCTATGTGCATCAGCGTCATGATCAGGAGGGTCACTCTGGTGCGATACTTACTGTAAGCTCACAGGGAATCCATCCAGCAGCTCAGGATCATCTATTATACATCAGTCATCAAATTCTCGCATGTTGTGGTGCAGTGTATCTTACAGCTATCCTGGGTAGCTTTGCAGAAATCACTTTGAGGCTTGTGATCACTCAAGCGTTTGTCTTTTGTTTTGTCGACCGAGACTTCACAAGGAAATGATACCGCCGAGTAGTCTACTACATTGTATACGCCAGTATATCCCACGTATTTGAATTCACCATGCGGTACGCTGGAGTAGGGAGTCGTGGGCGCTGTCAATGGTTAATCAGTGGGTACCAATGATGCGGGTTTCAGGCTTACCTAGGATGGCATCGAGTCCTTCCATAGAATTCCATTGTTCCAAGTATTGTCTTTGTAGCTCGCTTCTCGCCAAATGTAGCTGCCACATTTCATAAACTCCTAGTTCTTTGGATTCTGCATACGCTTGCATCTCTGGGCGAAATGGTTCGCCGGTCGGTTCGAGCAATTTCCTGACGCTCTTAGCACCGTCTGCGACGAAGAATTTTGCCTGTACTATTTAGTGTCAGAATTCGGATAGTTTTTTTAGGTGCTTACCAGAATTTCGAGTGCGGTCTGATGCAGCTTGGGATCCCAATCAACAACGTCGTGTCCTGCCTTCTTCAACTTCTCCGCAGTCTCTTTCAGTGCTCTGGTTACCGGAGGTGTGGGCATACAGATACCATCGTTCCAGAGTACCGCGATTTTGAGTTTCTTAGGAGGTTCTACAACTCGCCATGGTATGGGTATCATTTTGGGATCTACTTTCCAAGGTTCTGCATCAACCACGGCTTTTGAGTACATGGTGATATCCTCGAGTGTTTTCCCCATAGGGCCATTGACACTGTGTACTGCCTCTTGGCCGGCAAGGCCAGATGTACATCTTTGCGTCGTGAAGCGACCAAACGATGGGCGAAGAGTGAAGATACCAGTGCATGCTGCTGGTATCCGTAAACTGCCGCCCTGTTTGTACTGTCAGCAAAAGGATGTGTAAACCCAGATCGGACTTACTATATCGGTTCCAACGCCTAGAGGACTGCCTCCGAATGCAATAAGGGCTGATTCTCCACCAGAGGATCCTCCAGATGTGACTTTTCGGTTTAATGGGTTGACTGTACGGCCAAATGTGTTGTTCACAGACTCTGCCTATACGATGTAAGTTTCCATACCGTGACCAACGTAAAAATACATACAATCATCATGGCAGTTGGCACATTGGTCTTACAGTATCGCACTGCGCCAAGCTTCCCCAGCAAATCTACAAGTGTCGAATTGTATTCAGCTGGCTTGCCTACAAGGGATGTAAAGCCGACTGTGCTGTCTTTTCCCTTGACATTAAAGTTGTCTTTGAGAGAAATAGGCAGGCCATGGAGTGGCCCCACCACCTTGCCAGTTCGCTGGAGATGCTCATCAAGGAACTTTGCTTGTGCAATTGCCTCATCGAAGAATACATCACTCAGGCAGTTGGTCTGTTTTGCGTCAGGTGGTATTCAAACTATTTCCAAGACTTCTATCATACCAGTTGATGGGCTGCCGTAGCACGTTTGCAAAAGGCAGCGGTTACATCTTCTGCGCTCCATGTTTTGGACGCAATCTTTTCCAGGATCTGGGAAGCTGTACTACCTGTAATCTCCAGCTCCTTTGGCGTAAACCATCCGGACTCCTTTGGCCAGACTGTTACATCGAGTTGGGACTCTGGCGGCAATTTGTCCTGAGGTATGCGATATAACGTCGGAATGGATTCCGCCAAGGCTGCGCGCTTCCCCGCAGCGACTTTCTCCCAGTTCGGTTCAGCTACCATGGCTCAAAACTTGTGCAGCCCCAAGACTCTGCAATGTTGAAGTACAGCAGCAACAAACTTCTGCGACACCCAAAGTAGATTATTGCGCCCATATCCGTGGGTAACCCATTCCTACTTTATCCAATCCGCGTGGTCCTCGGCCGCACCTTTCAAGCCCATGACCATGCCACTCCCCGCACTTATAGGCTCCACACCACCCCGGCTGACCTCTTTACAGGCTATCCGGTAAATCGGCCGAGTACGCTATCATTGTCGAAGGCGACAACCTGCCTTGTTGAGCTTGTCTTTTGGCCACCGATACCGGCGATTAGTTGCCTATCGAGAAGGCTTAAGATCTGCAAAAGGGAATTCCTGATTACGCATTTCCCGAGTCAGTTAAAAGTGGCCTATTATCTCTGGTATCTTGCACTTTTTGCCTCGGTCTTATCATGCGCGTATCCGAGTCCCTGATCCGAACCGTACTGAACATCTACAGACGGATCCGATAAGGAAAATCGGAGGTTGGAGTGATAGTCTCTGTTTATCGATATACCTTACAAAACAACAACTTTGCCCAAACTCTGCAGCCATCGTCAGAGAACCATCTCGCCACTAGAAGGCGTTGTCAATTCAGCATGGCGAACAGCTTCATCGCCTATCTGCGAGGCGACCAGAATGCGCCTGGAGAGCGCAAACTGGTGCAGAAGCTTGATTTTTTCATCCTGACTTTCTGCTGCCTCATGTACTTTCTCAAGTATGTGTTGGTGCTCAAAATCAAAATGAGACTTCTCTAATGCTGTGCAAAGTTACCTGGATCGCACCAATCTCAACAACGCGTATGTTTCTGGTATGAGGGAAGAGCTGAGTTTCAAAGGCAACCAGCTCAACCAAATCAATACTGTTTTTACGGTAGGGTAAGGTTGAAGAATGCCAAACGCGGAGTATTCTGCTGACTGGTGACTAAGATACACAATCGGCCAAGTGCCATGTAATATCGCATTGTACTATGTCAAACCACGCTACTTCTTCCCACTATGCATGGTATGATCTATAGCCATTCACACTACTACATCAACTAACAAGTATACAAGGTAGCATGGGGCGCCCTAACAATGGTCACGGCAGCAGCCCAAAAGCCCCAGGATATCATGGCCATCCGCTTCTTTCAGGCCTTGTTTGAATCCTCAACATTCGTAGGAACCCACTACATCCTCGGATCATGGTACACCGAGAAAGAGCTAGGGAAACGATCTGGAATCTTCACAGCATCTGGTCTTGCAGGCACCATGATTGGTGGGTTCATCCAGACCGGAATCCACAGCAGTATGGATGGTCTACGAGGCATGAGCGGATGGCGATGGCTATTCAGTAAGTTTCACCAAAGAAAGGAAACAAATTCCAACCCTCCCCCGATATACAAGAAGAACAATCTAATTCACTAACTTCCACAGTAATCGACGGCATCATAACCCTCCCCGTCGCAATCTACGGCTACCTTCTCTTCCCCGACACCCCCCGCAACACGCGCGCCCCTTACCTCAGTGCCTCAGAAAAAGCTCTCGCCATTTCCCGCGTCCCCGAAGTCTCAGAGCGCACACCCATCTCGCTTTCCTTCGTCAAACACTGCTTCAAAACATGGTACTGGTACTTCTTCGTCATCCTCTGGATCCTAGCCGGCGAAACAGAATCCTTCAGCACAAACGCCCTGCTGCAACTGTACATGAAGTCGCATCCCACCAATAAATACACAGTCACGCAGAACAATAACTATCCAACCGGGGTTCCCGCTGTAGGAATCGTATCAACGCTCTTCTGGGCTACATTGACGGATTTCATGGGTGGGAAACGGTATTTAGGTACTTCTTCCTTCCTCCCCTCCTCTCCCCCTAAAAACACATACACACACACACACATATATATATATATATACGAAATTTGACTAATACACAATGCTAAAAGTCGGCTACTGGATCGCCATAACCGGCATCCTAACCTCCTCCCTCATCCTCGCCTACCCACACAACACAACCATCCACTTCGCAATGTACTACTGGGCTGGCAGCGTGTACGCCTGCCAAGCCACCTTCTTCGCCTGGGCCAACGACGTGCTGCGCTACGAAGAAGACAGTCTGCGTGCCGTCGTCATTGCCAGTATGAATATGGGGAGTAACGCCATCAACGCGTGGTGGAGCATCGTCTTCTACGGCGCGAGCTATGCGCCGTATTTTACGCGCGGAATGTGGGCTATGATTGCGGTCAGCATAGCTATGGGTTTGTGGACGGGACTGCTGGTTTGGATGCAGGTGAGGACGGAGAAGAGGAGGGAGACCGAGGGGGTGCATGGGATGACGGTTGTTGCGGGGAAAGGCGTTGTGGAGGAAGCTGACGAGGAGAAGAAGCGTGAGGATAGGGTTTAGAAAAAAAGGGGGGAGGTTCACTGTTTTCTAGCTTAGTTTGCGTCTTTCACAAGTGATAGGTCAACAGAATGAGATGTTGTACGTGAATATTTGCCTAAATTTCACTCTTTAAGAGAGAGAGAAAAGGAAAAAAACGCCAAAGTTGTTATGCAAAAAAAAACCCCCCACCCCTCTTTAGCAAAAGTTTGACTTTAATCCTTTCCGACCCGTCATCCCCCCCTCCGTTAACTACCAATGCCGTTACGTTCTACGACACACCGCCGAACCGCTGCGTCGACCTACCTCCACGCATGCTATTCATGAAATCAGCAGAAGGGTCAGAGCCCAGTCCATTCCAGCCATTAGCACCCACACGCTGCGTCTCACGCTGGGCTTTTGCGATCTTCTCTTGGAGCTGCGAGGCACCAGAGTCAATAAGCTGGAGCTGTGAAAGCTGCGTGTTGAGGACGCGGACGACCTTTGTAAGGGGGTCGTCTGGCTTGCCAGTCTTGCTGAGCGTCTGGGAAGTGCTGTTTATTTCCTCAATCATTTCTGTGAGATCTTTGTTTAATTCGTTGAGGCGGTCTTGGAGTTTTTCTGCAAGCTTGTAACTGTTGTGGTTTTGTTAGTTTCTTGTACTTTTCTGACCACGTGCGGATATAAAAGAATATACTTACGTTCTCTCACGCTCCTGGTCTGGGCCTCGCAGGCTCTCGTTCTTGCCGCTGACACCATGCATCTTCATGAGATTGTCAATTTCCTTCTCATAGCGGTCGAGGTAAGAGTCCAGTTCTTGCTGGTTCTCTTCCATCATCGTCAGCTGCCTCTCAACCTCGGCAGCATCACGCTCTGCCTGAAAGGTCTTCGAGTACAGTTGTCGAACCTTATCAGAGTTCTCGACCAATGCTCTGTCCCATGAGGCCACCTGCTCAGCTTGAGCCTGGAACTCCTTCTGGTATTTTGATAGGTCTGCTGCCCAACGCGTGATGATTTCGTCCATGGACTTATTCTTCAACCGTGATTGCGCCGATGGCGCGGGTCCCGCGGTTGAGGCTGCAAGCCCACTCTGGGCCGCATTGCCGCCCGCAGTCCCACTAGTAGCACCCAAAGTAGATGCCGGCTGTGATTCGGCGTTGGGCTTCGATACAGGCGCCTCACTTCCGGAGGGCTTACTGAAAAGGCTTGGGGTGGTGGTTGAGGTGGTTGCAGCCCCAGAAGTTGCGGGTGCGGCAGAACTTCCGCCGCCCAAGCTCGGGAACAGCGATGTTCCAGATGACGCGGTTGAGGCGGGCGCTGTGGTTGTGGCGGTAATAGCTGCACCAGTAGTTGCCGGTGTGCTAGTAGCGGCAGCAGGTTTGCCGAAACCGAAGCCACTTCCGGTCGAAGCTGGCGTTGAAGTTCCCGCAGTTGAGAATAGGCTGGTTGCTGTACCCGCAGAAGCTGCTGTGCTACTGGTGTTTCCACCTAGGCTCAAGGTTGGTGTGCTGCTGGATGCAGGCTGCGAGGAAGCGGGTTGTGCGGATGATGTAGCGCCAAGGGTGAATCCTGACGGTTTTGCTGGCGCGGCAGCAGGTGTCGTGCTTCCAAGACTGAAAAGGCTACCCGCAGGTTTGGGCGTCTTCGCATCTTGTCCACCAGACGTCGATGTTTGATTTCCTCCTCCAAACAGGTTGGATGTGGGCGCAGCAGCAGGGGTAGCGCTCTTGTTTGCGTCGTTGGAGGCTGCTGTGTTTCCTCCTAAGCTGAACAGGCTAGGGGTGGAAGAAGAGGTTGTGGCAGGCTTTGCGCCACCGAACAAAGACGATCCGGCTCCAGTAGTTTGGCTACTCTGCTGGCCGAACAAAGAAGAGCCAGATTGGGCTCCACCGCTAGATTGGGCAGGCTGACTGAACAGGCTACCACCTGGAGGAGCGCCGGCTGGGGTAGTGGAGGGGAAAAGAGATGTCTTGTTTGTTGCAGGTGTGGCTGATGGTGCTGAGCCTGAGGTTTGTGTTAGCAGGCGCATAGAGCCGACCGGGACGTGTATGGATACTCACTAGCAGCTGTACCGAATCCAAACGAGGGAGTAGAAGAGGAGGCAGCACCACCAGAGGAAGCTCCACCCCCGCCAAACAATCCTCCGGCTGGCTTGGACGCATCGCCCTCCTTCTTTCCAAGTCCTCCAAAGCCTCCGCTACCAAAAGCCGACGGTGTTGACGACGCGCCAGCTTGACCTCCGCCAAAAAGACCACCAGGTTTTCCTGCGGGTGTGCTTGATGCTGCAGCGCCACCACCACCGAAGAGACCCGATCCGGCTGTGTTGCTAGTGGCGCCGCCGAAGAGACCGCCACTGCTGGGTGCGCTGGACGTGTTGTTGGTGCTGCTGGCGGTGCCGAAGAGAGATGGTGTTGCGCCGCCAGTTGAGGGTGTAGCGCCAAACAGAGACTTTCCAGGCGTGCTGCTGCTGCCACTGCCGCTGTTCTGCTGGCCGAATGAGAAGCTCATGTTGGCGATTGTATAAGGCCGGCGCTGGTGGATGGGTGTTTGTTGAAGGAGTTGTTGTTGAGGTCGGAGATGCTACTATCGAACGCGCAACTGGGCTAGGCGTGTCGCGACCGTAGAAGTAATTGCTGGACCACTGTTAATTGGCAAGTTGAAGTGGATGCGCGCAGATGTACACGACCTTCTCGCGCGTCAATGTCGCATCCAAAAGTTGGACAAACAGATGCATGGGTCGAGCTTAGCTCCGGTGAATCGTTGTTCCTACCTGGCCAGCGGCCGGGATTCCAGACCGCCGCTCCCCGCTAATCGCAGGTGCCTGAGACTCCACGACGACGTCGAGGCAAGGAGGCGCAGTCTTTAGTAGTTCGTCTCCGTGACGCACTTCTCTTGTTATCTATACCCAATTCCGCCAAATATCAATCCCAATCTACTTCCCACAACCTCCTGTTGTACACGTGTAGATTAAACGAACATCCAGCGGCTCTCGACATGTCGGACGAGCTAGCACCACCCCGCAAGAGTGTAGAGCTGGAGGACCCAGGTGCGAAGGAGCTCGGTATGCTACATCATTTGCCAATCTGAGCGGCTCGTATCTAACTATATGCAGCCGAATCAAGTGACGAGCACTTCTCTGATGCGTCTGAAGGCCAGGCTAGACGTTTTACGTTGTCGTCACCAATCCCAATAACGCGAGTGGAGCGGGTCGATGATACGCCAGCACATGGCGAAGTGCCGGGAACAGAGGCATACAACAAACGCACTCAAGACGCCGTGCCCGACGAGGTCGAGATTGTGCCAGAAGGCATGCGAAGCCGCAGTGCGTCACGCGTGAGCGTCAGCGACCGGCCTATTACGCCAGGAGGAACGCCCATCCCAAAGACGGTGGTTGAGAAGATTGATCCCGACGAGCCTAGCTACGGTGATGTGCCTGGCACAGAAGCACATCAGCAGCGTCTGGCAGATGCAGAGCCTGATGTAGTCATCAAGGCACCACAGGAGGCGCAGCGCAGCAACTCAGGTACGTAGGGCATTTCCTTGGTGCCTCCTGCGTACCATTGACGACGGAAGAAGGGTCACCAACCTCGCATGACAGATCTACAATAAATCCGAGTGACGACGCAGCCGAAGCGGCGCCCGAAGCCAAAGATGTGGTTCAACAACAAGAGGGCAACGACGACGACTTTGGTGATGACACAGCAGACGTGGCAGCTGGTGATGACAATGACGACGATGGGTTTGGGGACTTTGACGAGTTTGAAGAGGGTGGGGAGGGTGACGACGATTTTGGAGACTTTGACGATGGGTTTCAGCAAGGCGAGCACGAGGCAGAGACATCATTTGATAAAGTGCCAGAACAAGCTCCTGTACCTGCCCCTTTGCCAGGTCCTGTAAGTTGCAGCAATTCTAGCCCACTGATAGTATTGCTTGGACCGTTTGTTACTGTGACATTCTGACTAACCTTTTTGCCCGTACAGCCCGTCTTGGACTTTGAGCATCTCACATCACCTGAAGACATTACTAGCGCAACACGGCCTTACCTGGAGGATATGTACCCTTTGCCAAGAGACATACCCAGCATATCTACCAATCCGGAGGAGACACGGTCCATTTTCTTGTCGGAGCGCAGCCACTCGCTGTGGAGCCAGCTGGTTGCACCGCCACCACTGCAGCCACCAGACTGGGTACGGTCACGGATACGACGACTGTTTCTCGTCTCACTGGGCGTGCCCGTAGACCTGGACGAAATCCTGCCAGCGTCGAAGCAAAAGAAGCTTATCCTGCCGTCAATCCACATACCTGGAGAGCGCTCGCCCCGCCCTTCGTCTGATGGGCGCAGCAACGGCGGACCACTGGGGCGCATCAGACGCGAGAATGAGTCGTCGACGTCAGTGGATTCGTCAAGCTCAAAAGTCGAGCGCAAGCGAAAAGGGCCCCCACCACCTCCTGAACTGGACATTAGCAGTACGACGCAGCTGTGTGCGACGACGGACGCGGCGCTCGAGGGCTTGACGGACGACGAGCTGCGGATGCACATTGATCACCTCAAGGCACTGCAGGAACGGGCAAAGGAGGTGTTTGAGTACTGGCAGAAGCGGATGGAGAGCGCGCTAGGAGACAAGGATGCGTTTGAGCAGGTGATTGAGAGTTTGGTGGCCCACGCCAAAAAGCTGCGGTAGTCTTGTCTAAGCAAGTGCACGTAATAATGTAAAGACATAGTTTGGGTGTGATTTACGAGCTCGTCTCCTGCGGGTGATTGTGATGGACGTGTTTGTTCGCGTTGGCGTTTTGGTTTGGTGACCCCGCATTATGGGATAGCGCGGGCTGGCCAAGGCTAGGTGGCACGCGGCGGAGGGTGATTTGGTACTTGTTTTTTTTCTATTGGCTGCCCTTGAATTGCTTTTTTCTTTGAGACAAGGAAGCTGAAATCAAACGGAGGGGCTGGAAGAGACTGATGGCAAAAAATCAAAAAATCTGCAGTATGCCGTGGGTCTAGGTGCAGTATGACTGTGTAAATATTTCGTAGACATTGCATGTGAGTGTGCAGGACAGCATGTTGAATAAGCTTCTGCAAGGTAACCAATCGGCATGGCAGGAGCAGTTTATGAAGGCCGTCTGCAGTGGCAGTGGCAGTGTCAGCGCTCAGACGGGAGGTTGTAGTATGTATGCGGAGTCGATCCATTACGATCTACGCAGGCCAATCGTGGCAGTGAAGACGCCGGGAGCACATGGGCGGTCTTGACCGGCAAGGGCCAAAGTTTACAGGCATGGTTAGGCGGGATGCGGTGTGGCCATGAGGGTGGTGGTGGAGAAGAAGATGGCGTTGTCGAGTAGAGAGAGCACAGTGGAATGGGCAGCATGTGCCGGGAAGTAGAGTAAGTAAGCGGACACAGAATGCGCTTAGGCAGCGCTACTATAGGCTCCGGGGAGACCCTGAAGACCAGCACCCAAGGCGGTAGTCTGGCGTCCGAGCGCACCCCACCCGTCGACCCATTGAGCAGCGTACCCTCGTCGTCTCCCGTCCGTCAGCAGCCCCATGGACGCTACTATCACAGATTGAGATGCGAGCAAGGCACGATAAGGAGATTACCGCGGTGGTGGTGGCCATGGGCGGCTGGTGACGGGCAATCTTGCGGAGTGGGATGGGCACAGGTGAAACAAAGACGACTGACTACGTGCGCAGCAAAAGAGGGAAAAAGGGGACGATCAAACAGGAGAGGCCGTGTGGGCAGAGTCGCGCACCGTTAAAATTAGTGGCGCATGTGGACAGAGTTCACCGTCCGTCGACGTTGAGGTTTGGTGCCCGCGAGCGCGGCCAGTGAGCCAGTGGCAGATGCGGATAGGGGTAATTTGCCACAGGGCAGTGGGTGCAGCGTGGCGCCTCGGCCGGACTGCCCTACCCTGCCCTGCACACGCTCGTACGTTTGCTGCTAGGAACAGAGGCGGTCACGCTTTGCCATGGGTGCCCGCCCCAGGCGATGCAGGCCGATTCCATCGCTGTGGATTGTCTGTTTGTATGCACCTCTATACATAGACATATGGTTTGCATCTTTACACAACGCATCCTCGTTCATATTCCATGCCAGGACAAGATGGAGAGCGAAAAGCCCTGGTAGCGTAGCCATGACGTCGCCGTCGCCGCACATGACGGCCACAACAGGGCCTGCACCGCTGTCTTTGCAAGCCCCCTTCTCTCATTTCACCGTCACGAGGGCGTCGCTGGAAGGAGGCTAGAGCCGTTGTCGTATCCAACTAGAGTACGCAGACAGCGCAGGCACAGGCGTCCTGGCCATAGGCGTTGTCGTCCCGTAGCGGCGGCGGGCAGGCTGGCAGGCGAGCAGACGGACCAGCGGACAGGCTGGCAGCATGTGTGCGACCCGACTCGACTCGACTCGACTCGACTGGATTCGATTCGACTCGCTCGTCGCGTCCGGCGTCCGCCGAGGTGGCCGTGGTGGAAGACTGGGGCGTTGCAGGCGTGGCATTTGGGTGCGGCGCCATGGAATTGGCGTGGTCCGACAGGCCTGCTAGCCGACAACTGACAGGCGCAAATGCCATGGCAAGCATGGCAGCCCTCTCTTCTCCCTCCAACACGGCAATTCCTGGGCCGATCCCTTTGTGAGGCAGCGTACCACAGTTTAGCCTCCAATTCATTCACCTCTTCTGCATCTTTTGCCCTCAGCCTGCCAGCCTGCCTGCCATCTCGCTCATTCTCCTTGTCCATCAGAGGTCTGTGGCTTGTGCGTGCGCCTACTGTACATTACTTGCACGCCTGTACCGGCTTGCAACACGCCCTGGCTTTTCATTTGCCCATCCCATCGCCAGCACCCTACCCACGACACGCTTATCCTCTTTCCGCGCCCGCCTGTTCTCCCGGCGGGGCCTCCCTGCCTTTGCGCCTCTCTGCCTTTGCGCCTCTTCGACACCATCCACCCGACCTCATCTCGCCTTCTTCCCTCTGCGCTGCCTTTTCCTCTGTAAAAACTCTCTTGTCCCGCCCCAGACGTCTGGTTGACCATCTGCCCATCAACCCCCTCCTAATCCCCAACCACTGACGTCTTCGCCCTTCCGCCTCGCTCTTGCCGCCTCCAATGCGCACATAGCATCGCTCGAGATCCTTCCTCACCCCTCTCACTCCAGCCGCCGCTGCCCACCGCCGCTGCCGCCATGGCTGCAGAGACATACTCGGGCGTCGCAGCCATCATCCGCAACCTCGCCCGCCAACACGATCCCGCCAGAGACCCCAGCTTCAGTGCCCAAGTCTCCGCAAACGGCGCCAAAACCGCCGCAAATGCAATCGCCCTGCCTGGTCCCGAGAGCGAAGAAAAGACACAATTAGAACAAGAGCTGTCGGCTCTGTGCAGCCGCATAGACTTTCTCGAGCACAAGTGCAGCCATGCCGCTGCCAAATCAGGCCAATTTCCTCTGACGCCCGCACAAGAGTCCCCCGACGATGGCGTCCTATACACTCCTACCGGTGCCATTCGCAACAACAGTGCCCCACC